ACACAGCGTCTTCACGACATGGCGGCGGCAACAACAATACTACAGCGAGAATAAAAGTTACGCCTTCTTTCTTTGCGTGAACATTTGGGTGACGTTATGCAAATCTTTCCACATAGTGATGTAGATATGTGGGGGCGTGTTAGAACGAGCCGTTTTAGGTAGGTGTGGCTGACTCTTAACTTTTATAAAGAATATCTCTTTGGATTTGAGACTTTAATCTTTGCAACTTTACAGATCTTCTTTATGCACCAAGAGCTTGTAACACTCCAAAGAGAAAGGAAAAATTTAAATCGCATCATATGACCCCTTTAAAGGATTTTCAGCAAAACATAAAACCTAAAACTAATATGAAACAGTTCTTTAAACAGCACAGTTATATTATGTGCACTTATAACATAAAAATTCTTTTGAAAGAATAAATGTTCCATGTTGTTTCTCAACGTTGTTTTTAAAGTTTTAAAGTAGATGAAGGATAGCATGTTATACTGCTGTGACTGCTAGATGTGTCATGTCAGAATATACTCAATATAGAAATCGTATTTTATTGCAAAATGTATGTTAAATTTCATTTTCTATGTATTCCAACTGTCTTTTTTCTTTTTCTTCAGTCCTCAAGAGCTGGCCTTAGAAATCAAGGCTTTCATAAGCGGAGTTGACCAGACTCAGGGACGTAAACTCAGCGTTCGGGATCATGCCCGCTGTGCAGTGCGCCTCCTTCGAACTGTCCCAGCCTGCCGTGGAGCCGTCTTGGAGCACTTAAGGGGAGTGTATGATGAATATGTTGCAGCTTTTCTGCAAGACCTGGAGGCAGAGGGTGAAAACGGTGGTAACAGTACAAGTGGAGGAGGCAGCACCAGTGTATCCAATTTGGAGGACGTTATTAAAGAAGTCCATGCAGTCCTCTCTGAATTTATCAAACTTAGTCCTAAAGCTTGGGCTCCCCTTGTGTCCACATGGGCCGTTGACCTTCTTGGTCAGCTTAGCAGCAAGCATGCAGGACGAAGGGCGGCTCCTCACTCGTCCAGTCTGAATGAGCTGCTGCAGCTTTGGATGTCGTGTGCAGCCACTCGCTCACTAATGGAGTGCTACTCCCAGTGTCTAGCAGCCATGTTGGCATGGTGCCCCGATGCCTGTGTGGATGCCTTGCTGGACACCTCTGTCCAGCACTCCCCTCATTTTGACTGGGTCGTTGCCCACATTGGTTCAGCTTTTCCTGGCACTATCATCAGCAGGGTGCTGGCTTGTGGCCTCAAAGACTTTTATGCGCACGGATATTCCTCTGCTGAGAAGATCAACCAACAGCAGGCAATAGACAAGAGCAGCAGAGTCCCCAAAATAGGCTCAGTGGTTGGTATCCTTGGGCACTTGGCATCCAGACATTCTGATAGCATCAAGAAAGAGCTTCTCAGGATGTTTCAGGATAGTCTGTCTCCACCCCCTCAAAATGTACCTCCGCATTCATCTGGGGCAGGCGGGTGGGAGAACTCCCCTCATCTTCGTAGGGCCACTGTACCTTTTTTGCTTCAACTGGCTGCTCTTTCCCCCACTCTCCTGGGTGCTGTTTCTGCAGAACTAGTGGAGTTTCTCAGTCCGCCCATCCTAATTCAACTCCAGGCTCACTTCCAGGCCTTTCCCCGGGAGGAGCTCGAGAATATGTTGGGTCTAGCGGTGCATCTCATAAGCCAAAGCCCTTCGGGTGGAGCAAGGGTGCTGAAGTTCCTTGCAGACACTGCTACACCATCTTCAGTGATCATATCAGGCCCTACACCCTCTCCCCATGATAGTATTCGAGAAGCCTGTGACCGCTTACTGCAAATGCTTCTGCTACATCTTCACAAGCTGGTGCACAACAGACCAGAGGGTGATGAACCCTTCCCACAGTCCTCTGCTGCCACAGCAATGCCGCAAGTTATCCCATTTCTAGAGGAGCTCCAGGGACACATAGGTGATCTGTGTGCTGAAACCCCCCGGCTTGAGCGGAAAAGGCATCTCTGGTTGCATCAGCTCCTGTGTCTGCTATCAGTGTATGGAGGCCCAAGCATGGCCACTGAAGCTTTCTGTCAGCTCTTCACCCAAGCCCGAAACCCAGAGGAGCTTGCTCTGGCCTCGCAATTGTACACCCCACTTTCCACTTCACTTTCAGGGTTGCTTTCTTCAACAATATCCCGCTGTGTTGCCCAGATCCACACTCAAACCCTTGACAACAAAGAGTTGGCTCAGCTCCTGAACAACCTGGCTACTGCGGTACAGAGTCAAGAGGAGGACCGTAAAAACGGAGTGGCTGCAACGGGGAGTTCGGCTCAGTCATTGATGGCCGCACAAGTCAGAGTCGCCGTCTCCAGCCACCTTCAGGAT